GACCATTTTCTGTTCTCTTTAAAGAAGAGTTTGGAACCATCAGATTAAAAAGATGAGGCAAGTTCTGGAGAATTATATACTCACTTGTAGATATATGTAGCCCAGTGTGTCATAGCTCCCTACCCTGTAACTACTCATGGATCGGGGAGGGTTCACTACATGTTCCCTTCCTACGCACTGCTTTGTTGACATGTTTTTATCTATTTTCTGACCGTCACTTACAGTCAGACAGTAGATTACTGAGTTAACTTCCTAATGAATAGATTTTAAGAGGATTGGAGGAATTAGCATGGTTTTCCTTCAACACAGGCGCAGATTGACTGGAGATTGAAGTTGTCTCAGGGATGAGGTTCAATTTTAAATGCAATGGGCATCCAAAATGTAGTTTGTGTGAGTTCCCACCTAGGCACACAAATAAGTAGCCCTTCAGGTGCCTGAAACTAGTGGTAATCTACCACTTGGCTTGGAGGAGGGACAAAACTCAGCAAACTGGGGTGAAAGAGGAAAGTGCTCGATCTGATTTCGTATTTGATAAGCACAACCTTTTCAAAACCATGAAATGAAACCAATTTAACCTGTGAAAGTCAATGAAGTCAAAAACAATCTACAGAATGGGAGAAGATATTTGCAAATGTCTTATCAGATAAAGGGCTGGTATACAGAATCTATAAAGAACTTATCAAACTGCACACCGAAAAAAACAAATAATCCAGTCAAGAAATGGGCAGTAGACATGAATAGACATTTCCCCAAGGAAGACATACACCCGGCCAACAGACGCATGAAAAGATGTTCCACATCCCTCAGCATCAGGAGAATACAAATTGAAACCAGAATGACATGCCACCTCTCACCAGTCAGAATGGGCAAGATGAACAAATCAAGAAACAACAGATGCAGGTGAGGATGAGGAGAAGGGGGACCCTCTCACACTGTTGGTGGGATTGCTGTAAACTGGGGCAGGGCAGCCACTCTGGAAAACAGTGTGGAGTTTCCTCAAAAAAATTAAAAATAGAACTACCCTACAATGCAGCAATTGCACTTCTAGGTATTTATCCAAAGGATACAAACAGAGTAATTTGAAAGGACACCTGCACCCCAATGTCTATAGCCGCAGTGTGTACAATAGCCAAAATATGGAAAGAGCCCAGCTGTCCATCGGCAGATGAATGGATAAAGAATTTGTGGGACACACACACACAGACACACACACACAGACACACACACAATGGAATCAGCCATCAAAAAGGATGAAATCTTAAAAACAAAACAACAACAACAAAAAAAACAAAAAGGATGAAATCTTGCCATTTGCAATGATGTGGATGGCATTATGTTGGGTGAAATAAGTCAGAGGAAGACAAATACCATATGATTTTTGCTCACATCTGGAATTGAAGAAACAAAATAGATGAACAGAGAGGAAGGGAAGGAAAAATAAAATAAGACAACAACACAGGGAGACAAACCATGAGACTCTTACCTCTAGGAAAGAAAGTGAGGGCTGCTGGTGGAGAGGTGGGTGGGGGGAGGGGGTAACTGATGGGCATTAAGGAGAGCACTAGTCGTAATGAGCACTGGGTGTTATATGCAACTGGTGAATCACTAAATTCTATCTCTGAAACTAAAAATACACTATATGTTAATTAAATTGAATTTAAATAAAAAATCAAAAGAAAAAAAATCTGTCCTAAAACCGTATTTGTACCTACTGCTCAGCTGCATCTCCACCCCTGCTTCCAAATTCAGTCCTCCAGCCCCAGGGCTCCGGTTAGCCTCCACCTTCGCTAGAGGGCATCTCTCCATGCTACTCCCCCTGGCACAGGGATTCCACCTCTCTCCATAAGTATTTGTTTTCCTCAGGCTCTATACGAGGTTTCTTGCCACCCAGACCACTCCACCTTGGGGTCAGAGTCCTGGCCGGGAAAAGGAACATTCTCTGTCTCATACGTACTATCCTGTATCCTTTTGCCCTATGCCCAGACTGACCCAGCAAGGCCACCCTGGATTCTTACGCTCTATAATTCAGACCATGTCATTTCAGATCAATCCCTTTTTGGGATGCCTGTCACCTGTGTACTTTCTCATTTGCTTTTTAACCCCTCATACTCTCTATTATTGCAGTTTCATGTTCAAAACCCCAAACTGGCCTTTCAGCAACAGCCTGAGTTCTTGCAGACATTTTGCCTCAATTACCAATGTCACATCAATGACTTCCCTTGCTTGGTGAGTTATTTTGTCAAGGCTTTGTATCTTTGCACTACTGGTGATTCCTGCCCACTGGCTCATTCCATTTCACTTCTGGAGCACAACAGTTAATGTCAAATTACCCAGTTAAATAATGGACAACCCCTAAGCTCCCAACTGCGTGAGATGGAACAAAATAGGGACTCTCAGAGAAGACGGTTAAAATCGTTCAACAAAGTTTCAGTTTGAGGGCTTTTGGAAATACTGGTTTCAAAGATTTTAAAGAATTTACAACTAAAATTTGTAAGTGCTATTTTCAGTTTAAATTCAAGTGGCTTCCTTTTCAACCTGAAGATTTCAAAGTATTTAATGGGGAGTATCAAATTAGCCCAAATGATTGTGAATCAGTACCAAAACAATGAAATTAGCATGGAAAAGCACATGAGAATCCTTTCCAGCATTTACTGTCACTAATCACACAGGAAGGATGTATGGACTTTGGGTCCATTCCAAAGTAGCTTTTTTTTTTTTAATTTAAATTCAATTTGCCAACATATAGTCTAACACCCAGTGCTCACCCCATCAAGTGCCTGTCACCCAGTTATCCCATCCCCCCATGCACCTCCCCTTCTGCAACCCTTTGTTTCCCAGAGTTAGGAGTCTCTCATGGATTGTCTTCCTCTTTAATTTTTCTCCACTCAGTTTTCCCCTTGCCCCATGTCCCTTTCACTATTTCTTATATTCCACATATGAGTGAGACCATATGATAATTATCTTTCTGTGATAATACCCTCAGTTCCATCCACATCAATGTAAATGGTGGGTATTCATCCTTTCTGATGGCTGAGTAATATCCCATTGTATATAGACCACATCTTTATCCATCATCTGTTGAAGGACATCATGGCTCCTTCCACAGTTTGGGTATTGGGGACATTGCTGCTATGAACACTGGGGTGCAGGTGTCCTGTTGTTTCACTACATCTGTATCTTTGGGGTAAATACCCAGTAGTCAATTGCTGGGTCATAGGGTAGCTCTATTTTTAACTTCTTGAGGTACCTCCACACTGACTTCCAGAGTGGCTGCACCAGCTTGCATTCCCACCAACACTGCCAGAGGGTTTTGCTCCAAAATAGCTTTGCAAACTAATACCAAAAATTTATCAGTCCCACAGTTACAAGTCTTCATCCTCCTAAGCTTTACCCACAGTAAAAGGAATTTATTAATGGGAAGAATTCATCCCATTTAGTGCATAACTGTGCATAGGAAACTGAATAAATTATAAATTATTCAATATGAGTAGTCAGGGTGAATTTAGCAAAGCAAGATATATGTGACCCAACAGCTATGGGCTTTATACCTGGGGCCCAGCATATGCAGAGATACCAGAGGAACAAGGGTGGGAGGAGCGAGCGGGAAGAAAAGGGAGTTAAGGTTCCTCTTATAGTAAAGAATACATCACTCTTGATTTTTTCGCCTAATCTTTCATTATTAAACAAAAGCACATTATGTGCCATTTATAACTAAAATGATCTATTTTAGATTATTTTAAAACTTTGTCTCATTTTTATGCTATCATGTATTTCATGCCTAACATAAATAAATTTATTTTTGGTGTTTATAGTCACTAAAAAGTTACATTTCCATCTTCAAGACAGTAATCTAGATTTTTTTTTTTTTAGCATAATGTGACAGGGCTCAGCAGCTCCTAAAAGTGCTGAAAATGAAGTGGTAGATAGATAAACCTGAAACTTAATGGTTGTGAGGTCCTTAAAAAACAATACTGTGTTTTTAATGGAGTTACACAGAGTGAGAAACTAAAGTGGTTTTGCTTTCTCTGCGTGTGTTTCTCACTTTGAAGTTAGAAAAGCAGCTCAGTCTGATGGAGCGAGGTAGGGGGTAAAGAACTTGCCAGGTTTTACACATGAAAGCAAATGCTTAGTAGTAGAATTAAAAGCCAATGTACACTAAACTGTTAGTGTTAACTGATGCCAACCCTAATCTATACTCAAAAAGTGGAGTGTGAACATTCAAAGCCCGTGACACTTGTCTCCTTGCCAGGAGCAGGGTCCCAAACCCCAGGCGGCAGAGCTGGAAACCATTAGTGCACCCCGCTCAGCAGCATTCAGTGGTCAGCATTTGTCACATGCATCTCAGAGAAAGGCTGGGTTTTAAGATGGAAAGTTCTTTGAAAACCCTGTGGCTCAGAACAGAGAACCATGTCTCCTAGTTTCGTGGAACTCTTCTATCTCACATGATATGAATAGAAGTAAAAGAAACAGGGAAAAAAAAAAAGAAAGAAAGAAAGAAAGAAAGAAAGAAAGAAAGAAAGAAAGAAAGAAAGAAAGAAAGAAAAGAAAAAGATTTCCACAACCAAATGTTAGAGAAATTTGGAATTAATCAAGATTAAATGTGATTCTTTACCGAAGGACTCTGAGCTCTAGCAGGGTCCCTGGTAGTTGGGCCTGAGAGCTCTCTTTGAGGAACTATTAGGCTACGGCTGGATACTTGTGTTCCATGGGCGCGGCTTGGGCAACACTGAGCTAAAACCTTACTGACCCTGGTGTATAGATGAGGGCATCGAGGCCTGTGGCCATCATGTCCTAGAAGGAGAACTCAGGTCTCCAGCCTCCTAGCACCAACTTTTCCTAAGAGGTGGTCAGAAATCTGAGAAAAGACTTGGCTGCAGCCCGTGGGGCCATGGGCCAGCAATACCCATGCCCGGGAAGGGTGTGCTAACTAAACCTTGTGAAAGTACATACGCTCTTCTCTCGTGGCTCAGGACACACAGACCCTCCCAAATCATGATTACCTGATACAGAGGCATGCAGATGCTATCAATCCACTCCAATTGCAACCGAGGCAGTTCATCTTTCCGGTTCCGGTCAAAAATAGCCTAGAATGGGGGAGGAGAAGCTTGCTTTATTACACTCAAGTATTTTACAGGTGCTTTGTCAAACACTTTGCCACAATGATCCAATTTTTACCAACTGAACACTTCACAAATCACAATCAACCTTTACATGTACTTTCTTTTCCTTTATCTATGATGAGAAATAAAGTATTTTCACCTCTTTTTTTTATGAGATTTGTGAGCGAATTTATTTGAACTTTATAGCACGCAACTCCTTGGGGCCAAAATCTGCCTTCAGATATAGGTAATGGCCACTAAATCAAGTCATCAGGTCACTGGGAATTGGGTACAAGTCAAGGGGAAGGGGATACGTTTTATTGCCACAAAAATAATGCAGGCTTTTATTTTTATAGTGACAGAAGGTGGGATAGATTAGAAAAGATTTTTAAAGCAGTTTCATTTTAAATAGAAACTATTTGTATTAATTTTTCCGGGGGAGGGGGTGTTGGTTTGACAACTCTGTGTGTTTTTCAGTAAGATTCTGTTATTAATAAAATCCTAATTTTTTTTTAAATCTATCTTTGGATGGATGATGTGATAGGTACCCAGGCTGTCCTCATTCCCAGCCTTTAAACTTCATGGTATTATAATGTCTAAAAAATTTAGGTATATCTTTTCCAGGAAAATTAGTGACCTGTCCCTGGGGCAGACACGAAAAGGGAACCAATCGGTTGGGATTGGGGCCAACACAGATTCTTGAACACACGCTGCCAGTTCTGGTCCAGTAAGCTTACCCCTCTCTCTGCTACCAGGGCGCCAGGCCAGGGTCTGAGGAGCGACCCTTCCCTGCATGCTGTCTTGCAGGCAGCTTGGCTTGCTGTCCCCAGAGATAACAGGCAGCACCCACAGCACTCTGGCATTCGCAGAGGGTGTGAGGGCAGGTCCAAGGTGTCCCCTTGGTCGGGAGGTGCTGGAAAAGCGTAGGGATGCGGGTGGAGGGGGGGCACGGAAATCATGAGCTGCCCAGGCGCACGAGGAGACAGGAGGGCGCTGCCCAGGGAGGCATCTCGAAATCAGGTGGGAGGTCGCTGACTGCCCCAGGCTTTGCTCGTCCTGGTCTTGCAACGTGAAATGCGAAACACCAGGAAAGGGGACTGGGATCTGGAGAAGACAGACACGGGCCGGGCCGGGGAAGGAAGGAGCGGCCTTGTAACCTGGCAGGAGTCTTTGGCCGATGTGGTCCTTTAACAGTAGTATTCTCTTACCTACTCTCGAGCTCTCGATGTTATCTGACTTTTTTTTTTTTTTTTTTTTTTTACTTACTTCCTTGCTGTTTCTGGTGCACAGAATGGCTTTTTATTTTTTTAAATTCAGTGGATTTTAGTATATTCACAATTAGTTGTGTGCGACCGTTACTACAGTCTATTTTAGAACATTTTAATCACCCCAACAAGAAATCTCATACCAATTAGCAGTCACTCCTCATTCTCCCCAAATCCCCAGGCTTTGGCGGCCACAAACCTCTTTTCTGTTTGTATGGATTTAGCTTTTCTGCACATTCCTACCAATGGAAGCGTCCGGTACGTGGTTTTTTGTGACCAGCTTCTGTCACCGAGCATGATGCTTTCCAGTTTCATTCTTGGAGCATTCATCAGCACTTCATTCCTCTTTGTGACCAAATGCTGCTCCACCGTACAGTTATACTACATTTTATTTATCCATTCCCCAGTTGATGGGCAGTTGGGTTGTTTCCACTTTCGGGCTATTATGAGTACTGCTGCCGTGAACATTCACGTTCAGGTTTCCATGTGGCTGTACATTTTCCTTTCTCCTGGAGATATACCTAGAGGCAGAACTGCTGGGCCATGTGCCTGGTCTAACATTTAATGTTTTCATGAGTTGCCAAACTGTTTTCCAAAGCAGCTGCACCATTTTATATTCCCACCAGCAGTGTATGAAGTTCCAATTTCTCCACATCCTCCTCAGCACTGGCCGTTGACTGTCTTTTTAATCATAGCTAGCCCCTTGAAGTGGTATCTCACTGCGGTTCAGTTTGCATTTCCCTGATGACTAATGATTTTGAGCATCTTTCTCCATGTGCTTATTGGCCATCTGTACATATTCTTTGAAGAAACATGTATTCAGACCCTTATCCTTTTTAAAAAATTGGGTTGTCTTTCTAGGAGTTGTTAATGGTTCTCTATAGATTTCAGATGTCAGGCCCATATCACATATGATTCACAAATAATTTCTTCCATCCTGTAGGCTGTCTTTTCATTTTCTTGATAGTGTCCTTTAAGATGCAAAGTGTTAAGTTTTAATGAGGTCAAATTTATCTATTTTTTTTTTTTTTGCGCTTTTGTATCTCTTGTGCTTTTGGTGTCATAGCTAAGACATCATTGCCAGATCCAATCCAGATTTACACCTTGTTTTCTCCTAAGAGTATTATAGTTTTAGCTCTTACATTTAGGTCTATGATCCGCTGTGAGGTTATTTTAAGGTTTGGTGGGAAGTAGGGGTCTAATTTAACTCATTTACAGTGGATAGCTTAGTGTCCCTGCACTGTTTGAAAAGACTAGCACCCCACACACACCTCCTCCCTGCAATTGAAATTGTCTTAGCATCCTGTTGAAAATCACTGCATCACCCTGTTGACCATAACTATAGGAGTTTATTTCCAGACTAGTTACTTCTCAATAAATGTATTTGAGTAGAAGTGTGAGATAGTACATCGTCCTGTGCTTTCCTGTGACAGCACTGTGCATCTTGTAGTTGATTATGAGTGATTTTTTTATTTTTGAAGATTTTATTTATTCATTTGAGAAGGAGAGACCGCGTGTGAGAGAGCAAGCATGAGCCAGGGGCAGGGGGAGGGGTGGGGAGAGGGAGCAGAGGAAGAAGCAGGCTCCCCACAGAGCAGTGAGCCCAATGCCGGGCTTGAGCCCAGGACCCCGGGATCACAACCTGAGCCAAAGGCAGACGTTTAACTGACTGAGCCACCCAGGTGCCCCAGGTGACTGTTTATTTAATGTCTGTACTTCCCATCAGTTGACAAGGTTTGGGGAAGGGCAGGGAGGATGGTGCTTTGCTCAAGGCTGGATACACGGTGCCCAGCTTCATGCTTGATACCTGGAGGTGCTCAAGCATGTTTTATTAACTGACTCACTGCTTCCACTATTAACTCTTTGGTTACTCTAATGACCTTTAGGACCATCACACCTGATGGGGGCTCCCAGACAATTTTCTTCCTAAATATCAAAGAATCACAGACACAGCTGGTGTCACCTCTGGGTGGATGCATTTCCAGACATTTCTGGAAAAGGACTAATGAGAAATAGTCCTGCCACAGCAGCCAGGAGACTGTCATCAGCAATGTTAAGTAGCCTTTTGTGAGGGGAGAGTAGCATTTAGTGCTATGGTTCAACCGCAAAATTAATTTCATTTCCGTCTTCAGAGAAAGCCTTACCTGAGCCTCCAGACAAAGGCTCCTTAGTGCTGCGTCACTGCACCTGCCAGCTCGCCAGTGCTGGCAACTGACTCATATTTTTTTTTCATTTAATTAAATGACCTGTGGTATTGCTGCTTTATCAACCCTTCAGAGGATGCCTCTGAAACAGTTTTTTTTTTTTTTAAGTGGAGGAAAGCTTTAATTTGAAAATAGGTATGGAGCTGAGAGAAATGTGGGTTATATGAAGTTTTACAAATTAATTATGTTTCCCAATCTAGTATCTTTATTTTTATAGCCAAATCTGGTGATACCACCAAAAAAAGAATAAAGGGGGGTTCTGGAAACAATATAAATAGATGTTGCTTAGGAAACTGAAACACTGGGTGAGTGTTCTAACCTATGCAGTCATCTCACCTTTTATAGGTAAACAACAAATTAGGAATAGTCAAAATTAGCAAGGCTGTGAGGTGTGACTTCAAGTAGGTGAAGCTGTTTATCCAGGAGCTAGTTCTGCTGCATTTCCTTGCTTTTAAATGTCAGCGAAGAAAGGCGTCCTAAAGCTTGAAGATCATATAAATACCTCTAAATGTTCAAAACTCGGTTGACTTAAATCCTCATAAACAGACATTCTTGACAATTGACAACTGAGCTGCATTGAATCTACTGCGATGGGCCAGCTTTACAATACTTTGCACCACTCTTTGAGTTGTTGGATGCTGTGTTTTTAACTAACCATTCCTTACAAATAAAGAGGCCACTCCCTCCTTGTGGGTGGTGATGGAAGCATTAATGTCTTTGGTCTTGTTTGAGTAAAAAACAACATTATCCTGAGCCTACAGTAAGCATTCTCAACTAATAATTGAATGGATGAGTCCAATAAAAATAGCATTTCAGTCACCAGAACCTAGTTCCCCAAGTGAAACCTTTCATTCGCAAAGAAATGAAACGGAGATTTGTAATGATTTGGATTTGAGGTTTTGGAAAGTTTGAAATCAGAAAATAAAACCCAGGACATCCATTGTTTACTGCAGCTGTTCATTCTCGCTGCTCAAGGCTGGACAGCTGACCTTCAACTTTTGTCTGCATTTCTATTCCAAAATAGCTACTGATCACATATGAAGCGCCAGCACTGGGCTTTGAGCTACTCAAATGCCACTCTGCACATCCTCCCTTGTGCCTACTTGTCCCACTGTGAGAGCTCAGGAAAACCTGGGAATAAGAGTATTGAACATTGAAGTTTATTAAAGTTAGTTTTTTTTTTTTTTAATCCTGCAATTAGCCAGATCCTTACTCTTTGGCAGGCAGTTAGCTTTTTTTTTTCTTTTTAAAGATTTATTTATTTATTTATTTATTTATTTATTTATGAGAGAGAGAGAGAGAGAGAGAGAGAGAGAGAGGCAGAGACCCAGGCAGAGGGAGAAGCAGGCTCCATGCAGGGAGCCCGACGTGGTACTCAATCCTGGGACTCCAGGATCCTGCCCTGGGCCAAAGGCAGGCACCAAACCACTGAGCCACCCAGGGATCTCGAAGTTTATTAAATTTTTAAACTTTCAGGAATGCTTCCTTAACTCCACTTTCAGTCTTTCCCACTTTCAAGTTGTGATTTGGAGTTACTTTTGAAAATGTCATTCCAAAGGGTAAATATGGCATAATAAAAAGATGGACTTACTGAAGGAGTGAGTTTGAGTTCTGCTCTCTCCCGATCTCCTTGCTCAAAGAACTCACTGGTTACAAGTTCGGCCACCTAAAACATACAGATACTTAATTTATGGTTATGTGTAATTTATCATAAGATTATTTTCAACACAGATAATCATTTAAACAGCTTTTGAAGAAGTATGTTAACCTTTTCTGTTTCAAGTTATTACAGACTTTAATCAATGAAACTGATTTCCTTTTAATTAGAAGAACTTGTGCAAGGTATTTTCAGATGCATGCTAGGAGATGATCTCTGACAGTACAGATTCCATATTCAGGGTGAGGTATTGGGTTGCCACCTTCAAAGTAGGAAATGTTCTTATTGCAGGAAAATAAAGCAAATAGTACCTAAGAGTAATTTTTGTTTTATAATATACTTGTAATATATTTTATAATATACTTGTAATAATAATTGATCATCGTTAGGCTAAAGAGACGCTTCTCCAAGCCCTGTGCTTATGATAGCTTATGTGAAGCATAATGATATAACAGAGAAGTGTTAAACAGGTATTTTCAACAACCCTCTAGTGTGCATATAGGAAATCTCTGAGATGAACTCGCTAGATTTACAAAATTTGGAAGAGCAGGGGAAAAAATCCCAAAAAATTTGATGGCAAGAAGATCTAGATTCCCAGACTCGTTTTTCCTCTATTTCAGGCTCTTATAAGATGAAGTTCTAAGGTGTGGAAAAGGCTAGTATGGTTTAATTTTGGTCAAGTGGATAGAATCAAGACAATTTACCTAAGCATTCTCTCTCAAGAAATTCTGTCAACTATTAATCATAACCATTGATAAAACATAAAAACATCTCTCTGTCTCTGTCTCTCTCTCTCTCACACACACTCCCCCACCCCCGAGAATAGTAAGTATATAGCTCATTTATTTAAAAAATAGAATATATAGTCAGTTCAGATTTTCAACATTTCTAATAAGGAATATGAGTACCTTTTAGACATTCAATAGCATAAAACTAGTTGGAACTGGCTCAATTTTTCTAGGGCCTGATTCACTTCTCTCTCTCTAGTCTTAGCTACTACCTTTCACATTAGCACTCCAGACCTCTCTCTCTGTCTCTGGCCTTCCTTTAAAAAAGAAATGGTCCCCTAAGGGCCTGCCCTCATTTATTTAGCTCCCAGAACACTCCCTCAGATTGCTCTGAGGTGGGTCTTATGCACTAAAGAATACAAATGTGCACACCAGGCCACGCCAAGGTAGGAGTCCTGTGTAGGTCTATAGCCCCTGGAAAGCAAAGAAATTAAAACAAAATCCTGTCCTTGATCTTTCTAAAGTGGTTCTGGGTATCTCCCCTGTGCTACTTTCACGGCTCAACTTGTACCACTGTTTCATTTGTACTTAAAAACCCAATCAGGAACATTAAGTGGCTCCTGATTGAATTTTTTATTAAAGAAGGAAATTGAGATGCTAATCAGGCCTTGGGGGATCACTGGGGAAACCCACATGCTTAGAGTCATGTTTGTGAAGAAGGAAAAATGGAATAGGCACCAAAATCTGCAAGGAAATGTTAAAAAATCAACATCTAGGAAATTAGAAATATTTCTATATTTTTGAAAGAAGGTTCCATTGTTTTTGTCCAAATATTTCCTAAAATCATAGAAGTGAGTATGTTTTTGAAAACATTTTAACCTATTCAATTTAGAGACAAACACAAATGAGATCTCCAGTTTAGAGGCATGACAAGATTTTTGATGGAAATGTTTGGAAAATCATGGTTTTGTGTTTTATTTCCCTGAACTCCTGGGTTTCTGCACATCCTAAAAGTAAAGTATTATTTACATCAAAGCCTAAGAAGCCTAAGAAGTCACCTTCAAGTGGCCAGTGGGCCTCCCAAATTGGTCTAAAATATCAGTGCAGAAACTCTTTATCCTGTCCTTTTCTTGCTTCTAAGTGGGCTACTGCTCCATTAGTTGTTGACACGCATCTCAGTGGGGTTTCTGAAAGTCCTGGCACATCAGACCTCATCCCATTCTCTTTCCAATCTTTTCTATTTTTTCCCTGGTCCCCTGAACTTTTTGCCACTCTCCACTCTTCCGCTTCTTTCCATCCTAATCAGACTGGCCACCCCTACTACCTATACCATTTCCCTAGACTTGGAAGATACCTACCTCTTCTCTGTTTCCAAACTTTACTATAGGGGAGCCTTCGCACATGGGGGAAGTGAGTGGGCAGAGATGTACAAATAAGCTACTCAACCATGCAAGTTCTCCCCAGTTACCCTGCTGTCTATAATTTCAAATGTGTTGCACTAAAACGAAAACTGATGATCAATTGGAGGAGAGCTATTTATTAGAGGAGAACTTTGTAGGAAAACTGCCCAATCTGTACTGGAATGTGACAGGAGCAAAGAAATAGGCTTTTCTTTGACTTAAGCAACTGAAATTTGAGAATGTATTTGTTACTGCGGCAAAGCCTACTGAAGTTTGGCCTAACACAAAAACTAGTATGGAAATGAGGTGCTGATGTTAAAAGAAAAAGAAATTTTAAAAAAGGAAGAAAAATATAAGAAGATCCTGAAATATGTGGTGCCAACAGTGTGGGGACCAGGTATAAGACAGTGAGGAAATGTTGTGGGAGGCTGTGAGGATGATGGCTCATGTTACACAGTGGCAAAATATTTTGTACAATTCTCACTGAAATAAAGCACATAATGTATCTAATGAATTTACAGCCTTAGGGGAAGAGATTGGAAAACAAATGTTAGAAGCATGTGATGATTGCTGTTGACTGTTTTGCTAAGTATTATAAGAAGTGAGCTCAGAAAAGAATTGATGGCAGGTTTATATAATCAGGAATGAAAATGAAGAGAGAGAGTCACAAATTCAGTCTTCATCTTCAGGGATGGAAGATGAAGCTGCTTTTGACTCCAAATTGTAAAAATAAAAATTGAGATACATTTTGAATGACTAAGGCTGATCAAGACTCAGCCTTGCACGGTGCCTGGCTGGTCAGTCAGTGGAGCGTGTGACTCTTGATCTCAGGGTTCTGAGTTCAACCCCATCCAGGGTGTAAAGAGTACTTAAAAATAAAATCTAAAAAAACCCCACAAAAAACAACTCAGCTTTGCAACAAGAATCAAAGGTGTGGCCAGTGCCCTCATAGTTAAGACCTCTGAACGAATTAGGCGGTACACAGGATATCCCTTCAATTGTACAGAACGGCCCAGAGAAATGATTTTGCTACATGGTTCTCTCGTTGGCATCTGTTAGGTCCCAAATGCTAGGAATTGGGTCATGAAAGAGGAAGAAAGAAGTACATATGTTACTTTTCTTTGTTCTTGAAAACAAGGAAGCAAAGAGATAGAGCAGAATTTAAGAAATCAATCTGGGCAGCCCGGGTGGCTCAGCGGTTTAGCGCCATCTTTGACCCAGGGCATGATCCTGGAGACCGGGAATTGAGTCCCACATCGGGCTCCCTGCATGGAGCCTGCTTTTCCCGCGGCCTGTGTCTCTACCTCTCTCTTTCTCTCTGTGTCTCTCATGAATAAATTAAAAAATCTTTTTTTTTTTTTAAAAGAAATCTATCTAGAATACAACTTTGGATGTAGTTATTGGCAAATGGAAATGACTAGAATCAAAGACATAAGAAGCTGACTAATATCCTAATATCTAAGAGACCTATGGTGCCAAAAATCCCATAGGACTGGGACTACTGGGATCCCTGGGTGGCGCAGCGGTTTGGCACCTGTCTTTGGCCCAGGGCGTGATCCTGGAGACCCGGGATCGAATCCCACGTCGGGCTCCCAGTGCATGGAGCCTGCTTCTCCCTCTGCCTGTATCTCTGCCTCTCTCTCTCTCTCTCTCACTGTGTGCCTATCATAAATAAAAAATAAAAAATAAATAAAAAAAAAGGACTGGGACTACTTAAAACCTAAAATAAGTCTTGAGTCTTCAACCTTCTTTGAGTGGGGAACAGGTTAGAAAAACTGCCTGGCCTTTGGAATATAGCCAAGGACAATGGAAAAGGGATGATTTCCCAGGATAGATCTACAGGCCATGGATAAGGATGACAGGGGAGCATCTCCCAGGGAATCAGAGCCTGCTACAGAGTGGATGGCTTCACAGTGAATGCCCAGTGGGATTTTGGAATTATTGTGGCCCTCTAACTGCCAAATGTTGGCCATCTCTTCCCCTTCCTGAATGGGAGTCTTATGAGGAGTATTTTGTGGTTTGGGTGTATGTCAGATGCTGTGTTTGGGGTGTGAGTGTAGGTCTTTAATTTGCATCTGGACCAGAGATCCTGGACTTTGAGCTTGATACCATGATGAATGGGACATTTGGGTCATTTCCCTTGAGGAAAAGATGAGTATATTTTGCCTGCAGGAAGGAGAGTGAATCACACTTTTGGTGATTAGAAGGGCAAATGGTGGTAGTCACGTTTTCAGTAACTTTCTGGCTTTCTACGTTCTGGGCACACTAAAGGATAATACTTCCTGGTTGAGTGGACTCTTGTGACAAGTTCTGGCCAATGAATTTCTGGCAAAGGGCATTTACTTGCCAGTGCAAGGCACGGTAGGGCCCCTGTTGGGATGATCCAGATGGTAATGCTTCTTCAGCCCCAGTCCAAAATCAGGAGCAGTACCAGCTGACCCTGGATGCACATGTTCATGAACAATATGTTGTTTTTAGCAACTGAGGCTGAGGGATAATAGCTCATTCTGCTGATACATGGGCATCATTTAAAAATACTGATTGATGTATCTAGTGTAAAGCACTGTAAAGAATGGAGGCTTTGGAGTTTAATCTGCTAGGATTTGAATACCTAGCCACACCACTTACAAGCTACTTATTCTTTCTAGGCTTCACTTTCCCTATTTGTGAGATAGGGGTAACAACTGTATTGGTTTCCCAGGGTTGCCAGACATGACCACAAATGTGGTGTCTTAAAACAATAGGAATCTAGGGGATCCCTGGGTGGCGCAGCGGTTTGGCACCTGCCTTTGGCCCAGGGTGTGATCCTGGAGACCCAGGATCGAGTCCCACGTCGGGCTCCCGGTACATGGAGCCTGCTTCTCCCTCTACCTGTGTCTCTGCCTCTCTCTCTCTCTCTCTCTCTCTCTCTGTGACCAACATAAATAAATTTAAAAAAATTTAAAAAAATTTTTAAAAAATTAAAAAAAAAACCCACAATAGGAATCTATTCTCTCATGGTTCTGGGGGTCAGCTGCTCAACATCAGTTCACTGGACAGAAATCACGGTGTTGCCAAGGCCAAGCTCACTCTGAAGCCTCTAGGGGAGAATGTGTCCTCTGCCCCTTTCCAGTTTCTGATGGCTGCCACCTTCCCTTTGCTTGTGGCTGCATCACTCTACTCTCTGCCTTGTCTTTACATCCCCTTCTCTTCTTCTGAATGTGTCATCTCCCTGTGTCTCTTCTAAGGATGCCTGTCATTGAATTTAGGGCTCACCTTAATCCAGGATAATGACAGTGATAATGATAATGACGGTCCTTAACTTAATGACATCTGCAAAGACCCTTTTTCCAACATTTAGAAGTTCCAGAATTTAGGGGCTGATATCTTTGGGTTGCTATTATTCAGCCTACTTAGAGTAACTATACCTAAGTCAAAGTGGGGGAGGGGGCTTTGAAATTAGATATTTGGATATTAGATACTTAGTCATAACAATAAATAGTAATAATAATACTTAATAAGTATTATTAATAATACTTAATAGTAAGTATTATTATTATTATTTACTGCTATATGAAATCTATTTTATTTTCCCTAAAATATTGAGACTTAAGATACCAAGTTACTATTTCATACCCTATACAGTAGGTGTCTCATAAAAATTAAAAAGATATTAATCTCCAAATACTATCAGTAATCAAGAACCTTTTTTTTTTTAAAGATTTATTTATTTATTCATTCAGAGAGAGCGGGAGAGAGAGGCAGAGACCCAGGCAGAGGGAGAAGCAGGCTCCATGCAGGAAGCCCGATGTGGGACTCGATCCTGGGTCTCCAGGATCACTCTCCAGGCTGCAGGCGGCACTAAACCGCTGCGCCACCGGGGCTGCCCAGTAATCAAGAATCTTAAACTGTGTGATTACTGGCTTGAAAACTATTCTTGTTCTAAACGAACACTTTGGGTAGTGAAACCAGACAGGTGGTAAAGGCATGATTTTTTGTGCAAATTAAATTGAGTTATTGCACACTTTGGCTAAAGTGATCTGCTCGCCTTTACAAAGAAAAATAAGGGTGGCCCGGGTGGCTCAGTGGGTTAGCGCCACTTTCAGCCCAGGGTCTGATCCTGGAGACCCAGGATCAAATCCTGCATCAGGCTCCCTGCATGGAGCCTGTTTCTCCCTCTGCCTGTGTCTCTGCCTCTCTCTCTCTCTCTCTCTCTCTCTGTGTTTCTCATGAATAAATAAAATATTTAAAAAAAAGAAAAATAAAATTTCCCTTTGACTTCCTTTGTTTCTTTTTCCTTTTTTTTTTTAAAGTGAGAAAAAAGAGGACCTTGTGCTAAAACTTGATTACCTATTTAAAAACACTGTTTTCGGAACTCTCACCTTAGGAAGCGGTCAACGTGTTATTTGGATTGAGAGTATTAAGAAAACCTTACAGAATCAGGAATATTATGACTCCGTGGAAGCCCATTAAAGCATGGCTGTGCGATAACTATGTCTCTCTCAAGCCTCCTGCTATTTTTTACACCAGGTTAATACTGATGCAAATTGCCTAGGGCTTCAGGGCCTGGGAGTTGGGGTTCTGGGAATATTGCCCCCCCGCCCCCCAGTCCCTCCTCTGCAGAGCCCTGCCATTAATCACCACTTGCCTGTCTGGAGATCTCCCACGGTTTGGTCACGGCTCCAAGGTCACAGGCTGTCATTAACATTGATCTGAAAAACAGAACCAAACAAAACAGCCTGAATAATCTTTTGTCGCATTCCTAAACAAACCCATCCTAGATACATAAATAAATAAAACGGGACTCAGGCCAACTCTCACATGTCTTTTGCTCAACAAGGGAAGCAGTGTTCACAGTCCCATGTCCAGCCTGTCCCTCCTGTGGCCACACGGCTCGGGAAGACAAAGCTCCACGCACACCCTGGGCGCCCTTTTGTTGAGTCTGCAGCCAATCGAGGAAGGCAGAGCACAACTCTCTCTACCTGAGCCAAGCAAGCCCTGCTTAAAATAATCTCTAATGGACGATGCTCTCTATTCCTGGAGAATCAGGACCGAATAGCTGCCGAACCTCTGCACCGACTTCGCGCTGATGGAGGGGCACGGAGGGCACCCGCAGCAGAGGGGCGAGGCGCCCCCGCCGCCCCCGCCGTCGGAGCGCCTTCATGCTCGCCGGCTCTCTGGAGCTAGGATTTACTGCAAGAGCCACCCTGTTGGCTCCAGTGTATTCCCTGGCTGCAACCATGTTTTACAAGCATAATGAAGAAGAAACACATTCAGCTACAGCTTTCATTAATTTGAGTACATAAGAAAGCATAGCAGAAGGGGAAGCAGGCTTTGGGGGGGCAGGTTTCTCTGGGGTTTGATTAGAATTCACCCTGAACCATGGATATAAAAACGTGGGGAACAATTTAAATTGTCGATAGCTCTGGTGCTCATAATCTGATGTGGTGGGAGGTGGGAAAAGCAAGGCACGCCCTTTGTCCAAAATTTGCTTTCTTTGTACTAACGCCAGTGATGACAGGTGAAGAAGGATTGGAGCTGAGAGGCCACATCTTGGCTGGCTCCTTTTGGAAGAAAGGGGGTGTTGTTGGAGGTCACAGGGCTGTCCTGGTGTCGGGTGTTAACATTTCATACCCTGCCGGACTCCAGTGCCTTGGAAACGTGTCTGCTTCCCAGATGGCAGAGCGTGCCTAGAAGGTAGTGGGGTTTGCACAACTTCCCCAGGAAACTCCCCCAGGGCACAGGGCAGAGCGGCAGGTAACAATAGGTCATTCAAGCACCACCAGGCCCACCGCATCAGCAGCCCCCTCCAGGAGTGAGGCAGCGTCTAACCCCAAGCACGTGTATGCGGAGCAATGCCCTGGTGCATTCTTCGGAGTTGATCTTCTGTGACAAGCACTCTGCTGTGTGCCTGCCTCTGTACGAAGTGCTTGACCCACTATCTACGAACCAAATGAATCTTCTAAACCCTCTGAGGGAGGGGCCCTTATTCCCATTTTATGGGGATGTAAATGGAAACATGGAGAGGTTAAGTAACTTTCCCAAAGCCAGTAAGGATTCAGGATTGTGTGTTTATCACAAAGCTTCCGGACCCCCTCTTGCTACACTCTGAGGCTTCTCATTTTAGGTTCTGCTGGTACCAGAGGGAGACAAGACTGTAGGTAATGCATCGGACTTTGCAATCTCTCTCCTAGATGGGAAATAATCTCTGTGAGGTTGCCTACTTATACCCTAACTTGGACAACTGCTTAGATTCCATCTGCTTGATAATTCGAGGCTTGCTTCTCAAATTCTTATCACCGTCAATCAGTCAGTTAACAAGTGTGTTGAGTATCTGGCTAGGTGCTCAGATAGTGGTCATTCTAGTAGGTACCATTAGCTGAGCAAGCGCTACAGAGTGACCCAGTCTGCATACGGGGTAGGGATACTATTATTACTCCTATTTTATAAAGCACATAGTGTTTTGCGTTCCTTGATCAGACAGGTTAGAAAGTTTACACAGTGAGGAAGTATCAGAGCTGGAGCTGGAATCCATAAAGTCTGAGGGAAGTGGTCTCTGTTTTCAGTGAAGACCCTACAGTGGAGCAGAGTGTGCATACTGTGAAGGGGGACCGAAAACGGCCGGAGGGAGGATGGGGGGGATGGAGTCTGAAACTTTCATCCAACTGGCCCCGGAGAGCCTCTTAGGGTTGGGGGCTCAGGGGCCACCCAGCTAAAAATTCCAGGCAGAACGTTAGCTGGTGGGTATGAAGAGTCTAGAGAAGGAGAGAAGGGAAGTGGGAGACCAGTCGGAATGAGTGGCTCAGGGCCCGACACGCGGAAGGGCAGGAAGGGCAAGGGGAAGGCTGCAAGATTCCCAAGGAAGAACCAAAGGAGGTGAAGGAGTAGTTCACACCTGACTGCTTCAATCAGGCCCCTAGAAGTGAAAGGTCTTTTCTAGAGTGAGAGAGGAGGGAGGAAGTTACTCTGCAGGTCCGCCTAATGCTAGTGCGTTTGCAGTGGGGTGTGCAGCACTGGGCGCTGGGTGAGCGGCTGGAGCACCGAGGGCCCGGCCGGTTCTGTCCGGGGGGCTGTGTCCAGAGTCTCCGATGCTCACAGCAGATCATTTTTATCACCCCCCCCCTTGTATGTGCCAAATCATTTCAACAATAACCTTGTGTTCATTGGTATTTTCTTGATTTGTCCTCCAGTTTTAAAACAATTAGCAATGAAAATGAATCAAGATTAATTAAAAAGATATGTATTTGTAGCCCGTAAAATAGTTTGTGCAAGAACTGAATTTTGCACTTAACCAGACAAGAAGCACACTTCGCACTCTGCCCTCTGTTTCACTGTTTTAAATCTCAACCACTCACAGGAAGCCCAGATGGTCAACACAAAATGACGGAGATGAAGTAAGTCAAGTTCGTTCTTCCTCCTCGCCGTCACTGTGCTATCATTGTTTCTTCTGGATATACTGCTTGAAGGCAGGGAGGTGAAGCTCCGTGGGCTCAAGACATGAACTGCACCCGGAGCAAGCACTAAAGGCTCTGCAGCGTTAGGGGCTCACACCTGCAGTGTGCCCCGCGTGCACCTGCATCAGGGGCTCACGGGTGACCGCGCACTCCGCAGTTAGCGTTCGGGTACGATATGTGTGCAACTAAAGGAGCGGTAATAGCGTGGTGCTTTGAAGCTTTCCTATCAATTATTTTGATACTCAGCAGTAATCTCAGCCATGTTTAGAACTTACACCAACAAAAGATTTTTCTCAGGGAGAAGTATCTTATCACTGACACTGTTTAGACTGCAGGCATGTGGCACGTGGTGATGATGAAAAGCAGACCGACTTGTAGTGGTATTGCTTTTATTTTTTAAAGACTTTATGTATTTATTCATGAAAAACAGAGAGAGAGGCGGGCAGAGACCTAGGCAGAGGGAGAAGCAGCCTCCCCACAGGGAGCCCAATGGGGGACTCAATCCCAAGACCCTGGGATCACACCCTGAGCCAAAGTCAGACACTCAACCACTGAGCCACCCATGTGCCCCTAGTTGGTTTTATTGCTATTTTTAAGTTCTCTAAGACAGTGGTCCCCTGGAACATCCCCTGCCCCCCAGTGTACATGGTCAGAGTCTAACCATGAAATGGGGGAGGGAAGGCAAAGCTCGGGGGCCATGGGGAGCTCCCAGAGCATCTCTGTTTTACACACTGGGCTTCCAGGTAAGATTTTTCTTACATCTGGGGTATCCTGCTGAAACAAGTTTGAAAACCCCTGTAGTAAAACACCCAGGTAGAGACATGGAATGTGCACTGGCACGTTAGGAGTAGTGCTCAGAAGAGAGGCCAGGCTGGAGACACGGGGCAGGAGTCCATGGAGAGGAGGTGGTAGTGAAAGCCACCGGGAACAAGAGAGGAAAACCCAAAACAGGTCCTTGGAGGTCCTTACATTTCAGGAGTGGTGGGGAGGGGAAGGGCTGAAGAAAGACGGAGAGGAGAAGCAAGGGTCGGAGGAAAGTAGAAAGTCTTGAGGAGCAGGGCTTTGCAGGACCCAAGGCAGGGGAGAGCTTCCAGACCAGAAAGTCCAGTGCAATTAGGGGCTGTGGTGAGAACCAGAAGGAGAGCGAAGGCCCTAGAATTTGATCCTTGGGAGGTGCCTGGTGACTCTCCAAAGGAGCAGAAATCACGCTTGATAGACTGAATTCTTCAGTGGAGCAACAGCTAACTACTCTGTGGTAAATCCACACTTGGGAATACTATGCAACAGTAAAAGCTGATGATGTATGGACGTGGAAAAAGTTTCAAGGCCTGGAGCTGAGTGAACAGCTTCAGGTCGATGTATAAATACATAGCGGATGTTAAAACAAACAAATCCACACTCAACAGTATTTTCTCCTTAGGCTATGCGTGTATATAAATGCTTCGGAGGTGGTTGCAGAGGATGCAACAGATTGATAACAGGGTGTATAGCTGTGCGTCGTCGGGGAATTGGGAGTGGAGCCCGGGGGAGGGGGGTCTGGGGGCTTATCTGTCATGTTTCATTTGTTACAGAAAAATATATTCCTATGATTACTCGTGGAATGAAAAAGAAATATATTGCGAGCACCTGGGTGGCTCAGTGGTTGGGTGTCTGTGTGCCTTGGGCTCAGGGCGAGATCTGGAATCCTCGGAGCCTGTGTCTCCCTCTGCCCCTGTTTCTATCTCTCTGTGTGTCTCTCCTGACAAGAAAGGGAGCAGAGCGGTCAGGGGCAGCAGGACAGGGGGGCAGCCCTGCCTACCAAAGCCTAAGGCGGGAGCTTGCACGGCAGCTCTGGGGCTGTCGGGACAGGGGTCCTGCTCTGGGTGATTCTAGTCGTCACCTGGCTGTGGGACGCACACAGCGAGCCTCAGTCCAGGCCTCACAAGCTTTCCCAGGAATGCTTAGCAGCTTTGGAACAGGAATAAGGCAGCAGAAGGTCTGGGGGTGGGTGAGGTAGGGATAGGATAGGAGAGAAAGAGGAGTCATGCCCAGTCAGGGGGCTCAGACGGTGCCACAGGAGGTCGGTGGTTTGCTGCTGTCTTTTGTTAACGGCTGGGAAGAAATCCAGTGGAAATGTCTAGAACACACTCCTTATTTCTGCCACCAAAATTGTTCCAATTGGTTTTCTATCTACAATGCCTGCTGTCTCTAAGAATACCCCAAAGGTTAACTGTCTACTTTGTTTTGGGTAACACTGTTTTCTAAGGTTCCAAAATCCCCCCTCCCCTCAACCTCTACCCTCCCACCCCGCTGCCCCACAGCTTGCTGAAACTTGAAACCAATTTGAACACCATTTTCTAATTCTGAAGGCAAATTTATGGAGAGGAGGCAAAAAAGATAATGAATCAGAAGATGAAAAGACATGCCGTCTATCTTTTCTCTGATCATTGGACCACTCTCCAAATGTTTTGAATGGAAGCTAAGATCCGTTACTTTAGAAATCACGTGCATGCCCTTAGCGCTGTCAGCAAAGCATGGCTAAATCTTCAAATAATGAAGAAACACATAAACAAGAGCTTCTTCTTACCGAAATATATCACGATGGCTTTTGATGTTCCAGTCATATTCTCCTTTGCTGACAAGTTCAAAGAACTCAGTCCTCCTCCTGCACAAAATCAAATGAAGGAAGAGAGAGGAAAATCTGGAATGAAATTTCTCAGTCTGCGGGGCGACATAAACACATTTGTGGGAAAATATAAGATCACCTGAACCAAGTAACTTAATATTTGAAATCATGAGGCTAAAGCACTATCAAAATAAATCACTTTTTAAAAAATGTTGAGGCTTCAAGAAAAAGCCACAATCAGTTCTGAGTGTATTTACACCAGAGGAGATTATCGAGCCATAAAGCAGAAGACAATGTGGCCTCGCATGAAGCCCTTGTGACACTCACTGCAAGTCAGAGGAGGGAAGCAAGGACAAATAAAAAGCGGGAACAATTTTGGAATGTTCTTTTATCATTCAACATAGAACTGAGCTGTATGAGGATCTGAGATAAGATAAACTCCCTGGTAGTAAATTCAGGGCAAAGACCTTTTTCTAGGTTAGAAAATAACATTTTCAGCATTTCAGGGCTTAAACACATAGTCTGTGGAGTCAGAAACAACTGTGTTTAAGTCACCCACCTGCTGTGCAACCCTGGGAAGGGACTCAACCCCTCTGAGCCTCCATTTCCAAATCTCTAACACGGGGATCATATTTGCTGCCTCTCACGGTTATTGTGAGGATTAAATGCAAAGCAGTTAGCATAGGCTCTGCACATTTTCAGTGCTGGCCACACACACACACACATACGGATGCACATTCGGAGATGTACAGATACAGAAAAGACAAGCAAGGCATATTCTAAAGTTGGGAAAATAAGGGGGATTTATTTTTATTTTCAAAACTTTCATCTAGTTATAGGACTTTTCACTTTTATAGTGCAAAAGGAAAATAAGACATTACCATTTTGATTCCTTAAGAATTCCTTCCCAAGGTTTCACTTTCTCGACTCTTCCTCAGGAGATAAGTATTTAAAAGATCCTGACACACGGTTTCTCAAAGTGCATCCCACACAGAGGTACTCCACATACAAGGATTCCTCGGCCAAGCGGTTTGGAGAAATGCTGCCTCTGGTATACCTCTCTTGGAGATTCACCACCCATATCAGCCTTCTGAAGGCTCTGAGAAATCCCGAGATAGAAAAGCCTGTCTCACCTTCCTTAACCACAGAATTCCATAATACTGATATTTTAAGAAATGCACTTTGGAAAATACAACCATGTCACTCACGGCGGAGATCAGAGCAGGACCTCAGACACTTAGTGCTGAGCCACTGTGGTTTGGGGACAAATGCTGGGCACACGGTTCCTTGTGTCTGATCTGGGGTGCCATCACCAGCTGCCCAACTGCATAGACTTCTTGTCATCTGATTGGACTAATTATTTTCATATGATTTGAAAGGAGGCAGGCCAGGAAGACAAATCTGTGGCTCACTTATTTGAGACACACAGACAGGTCTTGGATCCATCCCTTCAAGTGGATATAGGTCAAGGCCACACCACTGTACGGGAAAACCTCCCCAACAATCTCCGAGCAATGGGCAGGGATGGCATTGCACAGTGACACTGAAGGGCTCGCCAACTCCCCTCCCCTTTGTGTGCTCAGGCATGTGTGTGTGTGTGTCTTTTCTTTGTATAACTTCACCATTGCCTTCACGTGCCTGCTCCCTTCTCTATGGCCATGGTCAGGCCACAGCCTGTTCAGTGATGGACTGTGAACTGAAAGAGAAAGGGAGGTGGTAAAATGGAAAGAACCAAGTCTGGACTCACACTGACCTGGGCCAAATGCTGACTGTCACTTACTAGCTTACCAGCCGTGTGGCCCCAGGCAAGCAATTCCATGGCCTGAGCCTCAGTTTCCAGCTTTGTGGTAAGAATTTGAGATGAGGTGTGCAAAGTGTTTGGCCCTAATAGATACTCAATACCTGACAGCTGTGGTTAATGATATTGATAGGATCACTGCCAACAACGACACACATAATCATCCTACATGAGATCGAAGAGGTCAGCTAGTTCTGTTCTCACGGAAGGGAGGCTAGTCTTCCTTTGAATTATTGTGGAGCAGGAAGTTTGGTTCCACAAATACTCCTTGAACACCTGCCCTATGCCAACTCTTAATAAGACTTTATGGACCCAAGACACGGTTGCAATCTCTAAACATCTCTGAATTTAGCAGGGCCAATCAACAAATAAATAGGTAACTCCCCTTCCAACCTGATACCGATGCTAATACTAATGATACTGGGACTAGAGTGAGGTGAGAGAGGCACTTGCTTTGGGCACAAAATTTAAGTGGGTGCCCAAAAGCTCAATTGTCAAGATAAACAATATTTTAATACAGTCTTTTTTAAAAAACAACATAAATGCAAGAAAAATCCATGATGAACAAAGTATCAAGGTTTTAAGCAGGATCTGACACCACATGTGCCTCACTTGGCTCACTTGCCGTCCCCCGGGCCCACCCCCCCACCCCCCACCGTGAGGCGAACATTTATTGGGCCCTTATTATGGGTTCTGTCACTTAGTGCCCACATGATTGACCTCAAGTAGGTTCCTTAACCTTCTTGTTCAGCTTCGGTGATCTAATAAGTAGGAGTAATCATAATGGGATCTACCTTGTAGGGTGGGGAGAAGGATTAGATAAAATGATTTATGTAAAACACTTAGAGAGCCTGGCACATAGTAGGTACTCAGTAAGGCTTAGCTAGTTATTAAGCTCAAAAGGGCTGGGTTAACTGGCCCAAGGTTGCAGAGCTGGTGAGGGGCACTGCTGGAACCCAAAAGTAACCTGCTGAGATATCAGTTGCCCCAAGTGGCTAAAACATGCCCTGGGTGTCCAGGGGGGCACAGAGGAAGGCACCAAGCTTAGCTTGGCGGGTCATGGAAGATCATGAAAGGCTTTCTGAAAGAGCTTGCCCATCATCATCATGTCTGTCATCATATGCACCTGATGTGATTTCAATCCTCTGAGTTATTCTAAGAAATCACTAGAAGGCCAACTCCATGAGGATAAGGGCCTGGCCCCTTTCTCTTCACTCTTGAATCCCCAGTGTGTACAACAGTGCCTGATGTGTAGTAGTAGCTTGATAAATATTTGAAGCGATGAATGAATGAAAATGATGACCTCAGAAACTTCTTCATTTTTAAAAATAACTCTCCAGCCACTGGTTTTTCCTCGATTCTAGTTGCACTGGAGTATTCATGGTTGCCGTTTGGAGAGGTTGAGATAAGAAAACAACATAAAATCTATCCAAGAAAAGCTCCGTTAGATTCTTGAAGACTAGATTCCTACTAGACCAAGATGACAACAAACAAGCTGTGGAAAGCTTAAGAACATCATTCCCATCTGATGTTCCATTAATATTATTTTATCTGCTGAGAGTATTTTCAAAGTATAAGGCATAATATCTCTGATGCAAAATGGAAACATCACCTACGTGGCTAACTCAATGCAGAAAAGAAATGTAAAAATAATGCAAATCTGTGATAGGGCGACTGAACAGAACCATAAGGATAAATTTCGCAGCTCTGGACACTTTAATAGCTAGAGTTGCTGGTGTGAAAGTCTTAAATCAACTAGACCCAAAATCGGTTATAGGCTTCACATCACATTTTAACAAAACTAGATTCCACTGTATCGGGACAAAAGGGATTATCCACTGTCCCTAGGGGATGTGGATAGAAGAGGGGTGGGAAGACTCCGTAGGGCACAGAGAAATGTGATATACTAATTTTATTTTTCCTCCACTGACAAAAGTGTGGCTATTTCTTGATATTTATTCTGACCTCCCATGGTTTGACTCTGACTTCAGAAAGCAGTAGGACTTTCTGCACACCATAGTTTTGTCAAGTTAGTCACTGGTGAAACTGTGTATATCATACACCTGGTAATATATTTGGTCACACAAATAGTCAAATAGATATTTTAAGGTTTTTTTTTTAAAAAAGTGTATTTACAATTTAAGTTCCTGAAAATTAACCATCTTGAAAGATCAAGATATGGGGTTAATCATTTCCATAAGGCTGCAAAAAGGTTTTGAAGTAATGGCATGCAAAAGTCACATAACTAATTTATTATGCATGCTTCCTATGTCTTAAAAGGTATACAAATTACATATCAACCATATAGAATGTATCTACCTCTTCACTCCCCAGCCTAGAAATAACACTTTACCCATCTGGGGACGCCTGGGGGGCTCAGGGGTTGAGCGTCTGCCTTTGGCTCAGGGCGTGATCCTGGGTCCTGCGATCGAGTTCCACATCGGGCTCCCTGTGAGGAACCTGCTTCTCTCTCTCATGAATACATAAATAAATCTTAAAAAAAAAAAAAATAAAGCTTTACCCATCCTGCCGAGGCCCCTGAGTGACTCTGCACTCTTGTTCCTCCCTCCCTCCCTTCCACCACAAGATGTCCATTTTCTAAATTTCACATACATCATTTTCACATAGATCCTTGCAATTTTCCTAGGTAAATCATGCAAACCATTGCCCTGTATATTTTAAAACTTTATGAATGTTATCATTGTAGTGTATGTATTCTTTAGCAACTTGCTTTTCTTGCTCAGTGTTTGTGAGTGTAGAGTTCTAGGCCATTTCATTTCACTGCTATGTGGTTATTCCATATATTATTATATACTATTTATTTATTATTTCCTCATGATGAAGGTTTAGATTATTTATGGGTGTTTTTTTTTGCTATTACATTACATAATGCTGCTATGAACATTCTTGTACATGTCTCCTTGTGAATTTGTGTGCATTTTCTCCCTGCCTCTATGCACACATAACATATGCCTACACACTCGCACACATACACACATATATATAAAATGTTGGGTCACATTTATTTCCTATGTTTGAGTTTTCATTATAATAATAGACTGTTAGAGGTACAGGGTACCTTTGAGAAACATCAATTGTTTCTCTCATTCTATAGGTGAGGAAACTCAAGGTGAGGGAAGGTGAAGTGATTTTTCCAGGGTCCCCCGGTGGTTGTGAGCAGATCTAGGTGGATTCTAAGCCCCTAGCCTCCCAGTTCTGGCCTCTGAGATCATCTTTGTAA